TGAAATCTAAAGCTCGCGATGCCTTTGCCTCTCAATTTCGCCTCCATGTGCGTCGAATCTATCAAAACCACAACGAATACATCACAATATGTAAATGAGACAATATCCAATCAAAAGCAACCAAGAAATAGCCAAAATCTCGAAACTAGTAAAACCCGAGCCCCGGGCCCGCTTCTCAAAAAATTGCAAAATTTACATTTTCGGAATCCTCGTCTCGCCACGAGTTTTTACGTATCAAGTTCATCAAAATCGGAGTCCATTTGACCACTAGAAACATCATTTAAAGTCTTGTTGGGTTTCAAGCCCTAACCTCCATTTTTAGCTTAATTCCATGAATTTACAAGTTAAATATTCAAATAAATGATGTTTCTAAGTCAAGAAACTTACCTCCAATCAATTCCCATCGAAACCTTCTTCATTTTGCTCCAAAAATCGACTCAATCGGAGCTCTAGAACTCAAGTTATGGCCAAAATACTGAACTCCTCGGTTTATACACTGTCCGGACCGCATAAGCGGACAATTTTCCGCTTAAGCATACTTTTTGTCTTATATGGGACCGCTTCTGCGGTCTTTTGTCCACTTGTGCGTTCCCGCTTACGCGGTCAAAGTCCGCATAATCGGTTATGACAGGGCCAGATTTCCCTTGGTACGGAAATGAGCATAACTTCCTCATACGAACTCGGAATTTGACGATTCTTTTTCCTATGGCTCCAAAATTTCGATATGGATCTAATGGTTCAAGAAAAACTGAATTTGAAGCTCATTTGGTTAATATTATACCCATTTATGTCGAAAGATACAACATTGAAACATCGGTTAAGAGTGGATTCACAACCCGAAACACACCCGAGACCCCTGGGACCCCAACCAATCATACCAACCAGTCCCAAAACACATTACGGACTTGCTCGAGGTCTCAAATCACATCAAACGACGCCAAAATCATGGATTAACCTCCAATCCAAGCTTGAAGAACTTTGAAGTTTCCAGCTTCTATTTCCGATGCCGAAACCTATCAAATCATGTCCGATTGACTTCAAATTTTGCACACAAGTCGTATTTGACATTACAAACCTACTCCAACTTCCGGAATCAGATTCCGACCCCGATATCAAAAGGTCCATTTCCGGCCAAATATCTTAAAACCTTCAAATTTCATAAACTTTCAAATTTCCAATTTAAGGCCGAAACACGTCAAACAATGTCCGTTTTCAACCAAACTTTACAGGAAGTTCTTAACCAATATACGCGCCTGATACCATTACTTTCTGATCAAATTTCATTTTCATTTTCCTGAAGCATTTTAAGAAAACAATTTAACGGAAAAATTCATTCCTCGGGCCTGGTACCTCGAAATTCGATTCCGGAAACACGTCCAAGTCCGGTATTTTTCTACGGATTTTCCGAAATTGAAAAATCACGGGTGCGGGTCCGTTTACCCAAAATGTTGACCGAAGTCAACTATATCAATATTAATATCAGAATTCTTCAAATTGCTATCTTTAGCCAAATGGCTCCAAAATGACCTACGAACCTCCGAATTCACTTTTGTTTTTCACTCCTAAGTCACAAATCATCCCCGGAATTAGTCGAGCCATCGGAAATCCGTTCCGAGCCCTCTAACTCATAAGTCAACGTTGGATTGACTTTTCCAACTTAAGCTTTTCTTAAAGAGATTATTTGTCTCATTTCTATCCAAATTCGATCCAAACCACCTCAAACTTACCAAACACACACACGGGGAATCATATATCGGGGATAACGAGTCAGAATTACTAGAGACAATGGGTCGGGTCGTCACAATAACTTAAATTTTACCTTTCTAGTGGCTAATGAGGCCTTAAACAATAGTACTGTAGGCATAAAAATGAAAAGAAATTGAAAAAATGATATTGTATGTATAGCCGCTATAAAAATAATAGTCGAAAAAATATATAAAATTTATTTGTATAACTAAACATTATGTATGTTATATAAAAAAATTGTACAAATTCTATACACTTTTTTGACTGCTAGATATAAATAGTTTCAGACATGAGCTAAAAATGATAATACCCCGAAGAACTTCATTAAAACCCCAAAATAATGAAAAATGATTGGTATATGTTGGTATCAACGAGATCTACCAAGATTACTTTTGGGTTTTTTTCATAAGAAATAAAACCAGATAGCACAGGTAGCTAAATTTTAAAGATATTCATGTAACTTCAATATACTACTAGAATAAAAGAAAATTTTACACTATCATGCTATCTACAATGTAATTACAGGTAATCATCCATAAAAAAGAACTAATTTAGTAGCCTTTTATTCAATTTCGTGGAGGTAAAATTCTCATCAGTATGAGTTAAGATTATCAACCATTGGATACTTCGAGCATAAATACTTTTTATAATTTCTAGTATCTTTGGATATCTTTTATTATATTTTATTAATCTTCATGAATAAATGTCATATAACTAAAGGATACTTGTAACATGCCATCAGACCATATGTTAATGTATATGTGAAAACACCTCGTTAATTTGAAACCATTTTCAAATTGTTTTTGGAGGTTAGGTTGACATCCCGCTCAATCCAGTTTGAAGTCGCCTGAACCTGATACTCTGCTCCAGATTTCACTCTGCTTCTACTTTAAACTCATCATCCTCCATAGTTCATGTTAATATTGCGGGACTTTCCAAATGAAGAATTACCTGTTATCCAATTTTTCTAATCCACATTAGTCTTATTTTAATTTGATGTGAAGAATAGAATATCTTTCAACAACAGGGAAGGGGAAAAGAATAAGTTTCTGTACACGGACAACATGGGAATCAAGAAGAAAAGGTACTTCATAAAATTTAATTTGAACATTACGCGACAATTCTTTGCCAATCGAGCAATCAATTCTAACATAGTGAGTAATATTTATTTCTAGCAGCCGAAGAGAGACAAAGCTAATTGACATGGAGAGCATTCAGGTTGGTGAAAGATCTCCTGCTCATGCAACGGCTTCCACCCAACATAGTCCTCCATCAATGGAGGAGGAAGTAGTTGGTTTTGAGGATGATGCAAAAAGCATAATTCAACAATTGACTAGAGGAACAAAGGAACTAGATATTATCTCGATTGCTGGAATGTCAGGACTCGACAAAACCACTTTGGCTAGAAAGGTGTTTTATCATTTTATTGATAATAGGCACTTTGATGTTACAACATGGTGCTCTATTTCAAAAGAATATAGCTCGACGAAGGTGTTCTCTGAGATTCTTAAACAAGTTGTAGGCAGTATGTATGATATAAGAGATGAAGACATACCTCACGAGTTGTGAAAGAGTCTAATGCGCAAGAGATACCTCATCGTGTTAGACGATATATGGGAAGCTAAGGCATGGGAAGAGTTGCGATTATCTTTCCCATATGGTGAAGATGGAAGCAGAGTAGTGGTAACAATTCGAGATGAACAAGTGGTTAGGCAGCTTAAGCTCCACAGCGATCCATATTTTCTACGATTTCTAGCAGTGGATGAGAGCTGGGAATTACTCTAGAAGAAAGTTTTTCAAGGAGAAATCTGTCCATAAGAGTTACTCGAAGCAGGATTGCGAGTTGCCAAAAACTGTAAAGGATTACCACTTGTGATTGTCTTGATTGCTGGGATTATTTCAAAGAAAAGGCAAACCTCTTTGTGGTTTAAGGTCGCAAATGAGCTAAGTTCCCATGCTTTAGAAGATCAAAGCATGAAGATAATACAATCAAGTTACAACCATCTAGAAGATCAATTAAAGGCTTGCCTTCTTTACATGGGATTGTTTCCGGAAGTCTACAATTTTCCGGTTTCTATTTTGCTAAAGTTGTGGATGGCTGAAAATTTTGTACAGAATTCGGCCACAGATAACTTGGAGGAAGCATATACAAATTTCTTGGATGATCTTGTGAGCAAAAGCCTTGTAATGATTTCTAAATGGAGAGATAATGGTGAGATAAAATACTGCACTCTTCATGATGTAGTGCGTGAGTTTTGCTTGAGAAAAGTTGCAAAAGAAAAGTTTATGCAGCTCATAGTCCTGTATAATCCAGACCAATGTTGGCGGAGTTGAGTGAAGTAGGATCATTTACTCAATGTCATGGTAGGTCTTTTGAGTTCATTGCGCATCCAAAACTCTATAAATGGGACCTAAGGTTGACAAATCATGTCCATTTACTTGATTGCATTAGGCTTATTCGGGTGTTGGATTTGTTGAATGTCCTTTTGGAGGGACGTTTTTGGGCTAGGGCAATGCAAGCAGTAACTCACTTGAGGTATCTTGCAATTTATACCTATGAATTCAGTTTCCAGTGGGTATCACACCTACTCGATCTACAAACTTTGCGGGTGGGATGGGCTATTGAATTAAGCAGCAGGATATCCCCTAAGCTAAGGCATGTGGATATCAAGGAATTTCAATTCGTATGGGAAGACAATGATCGAGTAATTTTCGAAGAATCTTCATAAATTGTGTTACCGAACTTGAAGTCTTTCGGGAAATGCCGGATATATTTATCAGATATGACTCCAGAGTTCTAGTGGAGATTTCCAAATATTGAACAACTCAAACTCTTCATTGTTGAACCGTCTACCCACACCAGAATTTGATATGCCGAATCTTGAAGAACTCCCACTTCAATCTCTCGAAGTGGGCTTCTCACACTTTCCAATCATGCCTCACTATGGAATCGGAAGGGGCGATTACTGTCTTGTTTTCCCCTCAAATCTAAAGGATTTGTCGCTTCATAGAATTGTCCTAATAGAAAATGTTGCTTCAAATATTGCAAGACTGCGAAATCTTGAGAGACTCAAACTACGTCTAATAGGCTTCAAGGATGAAGATATCAAATGTTGGGATGTAGGTGATTACAAGTTCCCAACACTCAAATATTTTAATTTAAGGCGTGTTAATATGGACGAATGGTGTTCCTCAGAGGCATCCTTCCCCGTGCTTGAGAAACTGGTTATACGTCGTTGTGAGTATCTTCAAGAGATCCCGTCTAGCTTCGCGGATATCCAAACACTGAAGTTGATCAGATTGTGGGGATGCAAGAAGTCAGTTGAGGATTCAGCTCTCAACATTAAAAAAGAAGTAGAAGATATCACAGGATGTGACTCTCTCCAAGTTCAACTTGATTTTAAAGATATGCCCCGTGGTGATGATTGGTATTTATTTAAAACTGATATTTATTAAAATTTTAAATTCTGCTTATTTTGAAGTAATTTCTTTTTAAGGGGGTGATATGTGAGGAGAATAGCTGTGTTTTTATTTATTAATCTATTCCGAAAATGATTTTGTGCGTGGACTTATTAGAAAAGGACATGGCAAAGAAGCAGAGGCAGAATAGGCAAATTCCTTATTGGACTGACAACACCATCAGGTACAATGCAAAGCATTGGTACTCTGAAGCGTACCGTGTTAGGATTTTGAGGTGGAAGGATTGAGTATTATGTTCAAGATCTTGTAGAAAACTTTTGTGAGTTTTAAAGAGTTAATACCCTCAGACACACCTAAACTATACGATTTTTGTCAGTTTCATACCTAAACTATTGGGTATTCCTAGAAACCCCCTGAACTATATCCTCCATTGTAACTAAACACCCCCCCCCCCCCCCCCCCAACCCCCCGATCGCATTAGCCCTAGTGCGTGTGATACACGCTCTAATTAAATTATAAAACATGCCATATGGCATGCCACATGGATAAATAAACTAAGAGTTAATACCCTCATACCCGCCTAAACTATACGATTTTTGTTAGTTTCATACCTAAACTATTGAGTGTCCCTGGAACCCCCCCGAACTATATCCCCCTTTGTAATTAACCCCCCGTCGCATTAGCCCTAGTACTTGCATCCAAAAAAATATCTTCCCGGGTTAGCATTTGTCATTGATGTTTTCAAAGAAGCAGGCTGTCCACAACCACAAAACACATTAAACGTCATGACTCTTCTACAATGGGTGTTATTCTTTCAAATTTATTTGGGTAACAATGAAGGATGGATAAATGAGAAAGATAAAAAAATAAACTTGATAAATACAGAGAGAATTTTAAAAGGATTAAGATGAAAAAAGAGATAAAAAAAGGTGAAGAAATGATGAAGAAATGGAGAAAAAGGTGTAATATAAAGAAAAAGAGAATAAAATATAAGTTTTTTTTTTTTAAAAAAAAGGGCTAATTAGCCGTTATTGAAGCTGTCATTTGGGTCCCGTTTCATGCAAATTTTCAATGTTCATGCTATCTTGAGCAACTAATTTCACACAATATGTCACATAAGCGATG